CATGTACACACACGTCAGAATTCAAACTGTCTCGACGTCAGCTCGAGAAACAGACTGAGCAGAAAACTGTACGAAGTCGTAATTTTGTAGTGCTGTTTGCTATACACATATGTACTCGTGAAAGTGAATTAAGCTTCCATGCCCCTCTGCATCTCACGCATGTACACGTAAGATTTAATCCCGGCACGTAAGATTTAACCTCGTAATTCCTCAACAAAAGCAGCCAGTGCGCTGGAATTCTGTGAGCTTAGCCTGTGGTTATGTTTGGGAAAGTGTAAAAAAAATTCCCCGTTCCCCTTATATTTCGCGTACGGACAGGCGAGATTTGGGGCGAGAATTTATAAACTCGCAACCAGAACAGCTAAAACGCTTGTATGCATGGTCCACAACCATGTTTGAGTTTTTGTACGACCCTTTAATATTTTGAAAGCAAAAATAAGGATAATAATTAATGCGAATTTGATGCACATTTTTACTCGCTTAGCTAGAAGTATCTACCCGAAAAAAACAGTACTACTTAGCAACAAGTATCTGTGGGAAAAACTGTGCAAAAAAAATGCATGACCGTACCGGCAAACCCAGTGCACACCACTGTTGATTAGTTTTTTGGAAATGCTATCCCGGTTTTTGCAGTCAGTCATTTTCGTTCTTTTTTTTGGTTTGGCAAATGACTGAACTCGTTCTACCAGCAGTGCATGGGTGCCTACAGTTAAGACAATATTTCCAGGAAGAGGTTGTAACTGGACTTGCTGCTTGGAGATGTATAGTTAGTTTTCAAGATGTTAGCCAAACACTAGCTAGTTTTAGATGTATTTTTTTAACATTTCTTCCATAACTTGTTTTTTAATTTACAAGAAATACCGGGACATGATTTTTTTGCGAATTGTATGATTTTTTTAACATGCATTGTGGCATTTAATTTTTTAATGTTCTTTTACGATTTCTTCTCAATTAAACATTTTTTACGGTCTTTTTTCCAGTTTTTTTGCTAAAAACAAACAAAAAAATGCATGGTGTCTAGTATTAATAAACGAAAAAGTCAAATATAAAACAAAAATGATCTCAGAACGAAACTGCGTACAATCTGCTACAAACGTGTTATGCTCATTTTTACCATCTCACATTTCAAAACAGCGAATAGCTATCCGATCGCCAGTGAGATCCAGGACGCAGACCTGAATGTTTAAAGAATTTTTTACCAAAGTACATTTGCCGATGAGCCATTGAAAAACAAAGTGAACAGAGGCGAAACCTGCTGTGTCTGTTCCACACTCGGCATACTGCTTGTTTTTCTTAAGCTTTCTTTATGCTCATATCGCGGCGATACATCTGGAATAAATCTTTGCAAGGCGTAAATTTGATAGCAGTGAAACTGAAAATCGGCAGTGCTCTGGTCGTAAGTCAAAAACCGTTCCGCATTCATTCTCTACGACAGGAGGAGGTACATTGAAGCATCTTAAATGAAACTGGTGAGGCTTCTGTTACCTCTTTCTAAGGTTTCTTAAAGCATAAATGAACGAATCGTGGAAAAATCGACCCCCTCTCGCCCCTCCTCCCCCCCACCCCCACCCCCCAATCTCCACCTGTGCAGTTGAAAGCCTTTGGTAATCTTGATGATTTCAAACGAGTGATGAGTATCGGAAATCTGCATATTAAAAAAAATAATTGGCCAACGCAGGGGGTGTCCGTGCGAAGATGCGTTTTTTTGCATAGTTCCCCGCAATTTTTGTCGCTACTGGCATCGGTTTTTTCGGCAATCCTTCTAGCTAAACAAATTAAGACTGGCTGTCAAAACTGGCAGGAAACACCCCCTTAAAATTTCAGCTTTTTAGCTTTCCTGGCTTCTGAGTTAGCAACTTACTGGAAAAAATTTTTCACGAGCCCGCACTCAGGTACCACGCATACCCGATGTCTGGGTTTGAGCTCGTTGAAACTTACTTGGACGAGGAACATCTTCCTAAAACTACAGCCTTTTAGCTTTACAGGTTCTCGAGTTATGAACTTACCCGAGAACTCTGGTGAACCCATGCGCAGGTACCACCCATGACTATGGGCTGGGTTTGAGCCCGTTGAGGCTAATTTGGACGGGGAACACCCTCTTAATATTACAGTCTTCTAGCATCTCAGAGCCCCGAGTTATAAATCTATGCGGGAAAATTTTGGCGGACCCATACGCGGGTACCACGTTTACCCGGGAGTTGGGTTTGAGCTCATTAGTACCTACTTGGACGGGGAACATTCCCTCAAGATTTCAGCTTTCTATTTTTTCTGGTTCGCGAGCTATCAACTTATCCGTAAAAAACGTTGGCGGGCTCTCACGTGGGTACCACACGGGAAATACCGCCCATTTTGGGGATGGGGATCCGTACGTTCATGTAGATTAAGTCCCCAAAGTTTCAGTCCTGTAGCTTTTGTAGGTCTCGAGATAAAAAATGGGTACAGAGGCCCTGCGCACAAACAGACACACACACACACACACACAAAAATAAACACATACACAAACACACACACAATCTCTCGTCAATATGTGTTTTCCGCATTGCATAGCTGCAAAAAATGCATAAAAAGAATCATGTGAAACTCAGGCTGCAACACACCAGGTTTGCCGATGCGATCATGTGTTTTGCGCTAAACTTGAAAACTGCGTGAATGATTATTGTTTCACATTTAACTTGTGCACTCATTAGCGTAAATTACCAAAAATTTTGCATAAAGAAAAATAACAAATTTTTGTTTGCCGGTTGTTCACTGAAAATGACGTAGCTGTTAAATTAGCTTTTTTCTCGCCAAAACTTCCGCATGAATACCCGTGAATACCGCACGTAGGCAGAAGCTAAATTTAAAGTCCTTACAACTTACGTGGAAAGGAGATATCCTCCCAAAACATCAGCTTCTTAACCTGCCTCGTTCTAAGTTAGCAACTTCCCCGTCAGAAACTTCGTGTGCCCGCACTTGAGAACAATGCATATTCAGGAGCTGCACGTGGACAGAAAGCGCCCCTCTTAGTCTTTTCAGCTTTTCTTTTTCCCCAGTTGGCAATTTTCGCGCCGAAACTGCCATGTACCTGTAAGCGGGGCTCAGACGTGCGTCAAAGTTGATATCGTTTCACGGAGTAGAGTTTGGCCAGGGTATCCGCAAAATTTCAGCGTCAAAGCTTGCTTGGATGTCCAGCTGAAACACCTGGACAGAAGCGCGCGCACACACACGCACACAGATACATACGGGGGTCGTCACAATATGTGTTTTTGCATTTACACATATGCAAAAATGCATAATAAAAATATGATTTATTTAGAAATAATGAATGGTTCAGTTGAAGTGTATATAAACGAGCGAGTTCACAGCAAAACTAAATAATCAATGATAGAAGCGATAATTAAAAATTATTTCTGTGATAAAAGTGTTTGCTGTTAAGTCACAGCACTATAATTTAATAAATCAGTGCAAGAAAAATAGGATGTAGCTCCATATGGAACAAAAGCAGCGCCTCTTTTTAG